GGACTGTGTGGGGGGGGGGTAGCCTGTCGAGGTCATGTACTATACAGTGAAGACATGTCAGGGAGGGAACAGAATGAAAAACCCAGTTGGAGCTGGAGACGTCAGAGAGAGCTGCTTTTCTTCTGTTTCGTACTTCACGCTGTGAGAGAGTTCTTGAATTATTTCACGATGACAAGAAGGAAAAAAAAAACTGCCACCAGGACAAACACGGAGCTTCAGGACCATCAACAGATCCTGGTCCTGGTCCTGGTCCTGGTCTCTTCTTCTCTCCTCTGTGCTGTGCAGCAGAACAGAGGAGGAGTCGGACCTGTCACCGCCTCAGCCTGTGTGTACTCCACACAGTACACAGTACACAGTACACAGTACACAGTACACACTGCTGTCTCTGCAGTTTTTAAATGTAGTTTCATAACTAAGTTAGTCATAGTTTTTTTTTATTTTTTTCTGACAAAATTCTATTTACAAAAAGGCAAAAAAAAAGGAAACTCACTTTGCAAATATTTTTGGGTAAAGTTTAAAATATTTGTTGAAGGACCAACAAAGATATACTTCATATATCTTTGTTTTGTTTTACATTTACAGCTGAGGATTTTTCTGTGTTTTGGGGCCATTTCTTAGCCATTTCCTGGCCACCTAGTGGTTCATGACAGAAGTGTTCTGACTTTTTCCTGTGACAGTTGATGTATCGCTGGCGTAATGTCGCCTTTAATTGTGAGTTTATATTTGTAGTCAGTTGATTCTGTCAGTGAACACAAAATCACTGACATTTGTCAGGTTAAGTCGTCTATTTGTGTTTGTGTTTTTGACTTTTTTAAACATTAAATATTAGACTTCTCAGATCTAGTGTAAAAAATATACGATCACATTTGGCAGCAGGGCTGGAGGGTGCGGATCAGGGGGATTCAAACACTGCCCCCTGCTGTGTGGCTGGTGAGGAACCTGACATTTTTTCTCTGAATTGTAGAGAAAAATTCTAATAAACCGATTTCTTCTTCTTCTTTTCTCTGAATAGTAGAGAAAATTTCTAATAAACCGCTTTCTTCTTCTTCTTCTTCTTCTTTTTTTTTTAGATGCTAAATGTAATGAAGTGAACCCGCAGTATCTGTCACTGCAGGAGTATGAAGTATTTGTACTTCATCTAATGTTTCAGACTCCTGGTCCAAACTGAACCCCGTCCGGACGTATCACAGTGAGTCCGTAGTGCCTCGGGTCACGTGCTGCGGTGATGGTTGTGTGGTCAGAGCCCTGTGGTCACCTGCGTCAGCTCAGAGTTGAGATCGTCGTTGACAATGCGAGAATCCACTGACGATCCCTCCAAGGCTAGTCATACCTACGAAAAAACAAAAAGGCATTTTTGAATCGTTCACAGGAACACGCTAACCCTCAACACACACACACACACCTGCTGATTGGACCTTTCCCCCGTGTTTGCGCTGATGTGTTCACGCTGGGGGAGTTTGCGTCCCGTGGCTCCGGTCCTGGACGAGTTCTGCATCTCGATCACCGAGGGACTCGGTGTGCAGAACTCACGGAAACAACGCTTGAAGTTCTCGTCCAGGTAGCCATAGAGGACGGGGTTCAGACTACTGCAAGACACAAGAACATCTCAGCTCATCAGAACCATCAGAACCATCAGAATCATCAGAACCATCAGAACCATCTTAGAACCATCAGAACCATCAGAACCTCAGCTTCACTCCCGTGAAGAACGTGAACCTCTGTCTCAAATCCTCTGACCTTCTGGTTTCATATCCGTGATCAGTCAAAAAGTTCTAGGACAAATGTGAGGACCTGGAAGGATGGGGCTGTACATATGGGACGCGGCCCGTACCTGTTGGTGTAGCCCAGGGCGATGCAGAAGTGCCAGGTGATGGTCTGCAGCGTGGAGCTGGGGATGTTGATGAGGGCAGTGATGATGACGAAGATGTGGATGGGCGTCCAGCAGACGATGAAGACGGCCACCACCACCAGGACCATGCGCGTGATACGACGCAGGTTCCTGTCCTTCTCCTGCGAGAGAGAGAGAGGGAGAGAGAGAGAGAGAGAGAGAGAGAAAATCAAAGTCACCGGTCAGACTAGTGGTCACAGGAAGAAATGCACGGAAACATAAACATATATATTTAACCACGATTTATGAAGAGATATGAAACAGATTTTAAAAATCCTGTGATGCTGAAGGTGGAGGGAGAATAAAAAAGGACGAAGGATTTACAGTAAAAAAGAGGAAGATTTTATTTTGAAGAAGAAGAAGGTGGAAAAAAAATCACAAGACTTTAAAGAGTTATGAAACAGATTTTAAAAATCCTGTGGTGCTGAAGGTGGAGGGAGAATAAAAAAGGACGAAGGATTTACAGTAAAAAAGAGGAAGATTTTATTTTGAAGAAGAAGAAGGTGGAAAAAAAATCACAAGACTTTAGACGAAAATAAATGGGAGGATGAAAGGAAATACGCTTGGTTTAAGTAGATGACAGCTGAGTGGGAACAAACCCCACCCCCCCACCCACTCACCCCCCCT